CTTGGTCTCCATTGTGAATAGGGCTGGGCTCCATTTCTGTATGCCAAGGTTCGGTGAGCTCCTCTGCCTCCTTCCCCGTGGGTGCTCACGGCGACTTTCCTTTGCTGTGCAGGAGCCGAGGGGCTGGCGTTGGCCAAATGCCCCACCCAGGAGCCCTTCTCTGAGATTCTGATCCTGGCTGTGGAGTGCCCCATGGAAACCTGCTTTCTCTGGACTCACTGCGTGGCAGCAGCCAGAGTGTGCCATGCCAGGAGCCCCCAGGACACCCGCCCTCCCCGAGGGCCAGCAGGCCCAGGGAGTGCCCTTCCTCACCATCATCACTGTGAAGGGGCTAGGTGAGGGGACGGCCCCTGGGATGAGCGCCCCCTCCAGCCTAATCAACTTCCAGGCCTGACCAGGAGGCATCTCAGCGCTCGGCCAAGCGGTTCAGCCCCGGGGGTCTCCACACCCCTCGGGGTTGGACCAGGACCAACTTGTCCCCTGCCTCCAGCATGGAGCTCAGCTGCTCCTTGAATGAGTCCACTGAGGTTGAGGCAGACATTCCCCCAGAGTCACCCGGACCATGATGCCTAATGACCTGGGGCTTGGGGAGAGGACTGGATACAAGAAGGTGTTTAAAGTAAAAGAAAGAAGCCCTCACTGATATGGTTCAGTTGGTTGGGTGTTGTTGTCCCATAAAGTGAAAGGTCACCAGTTCAATTCCCAGTCAGGGCACATGCAGGTTCTGTCCCCAGTCAGGGCACGTGCGAGGGGCAACCCATCGATGTGAGAAACAATTCACATCAATGTTTCTTTCCCTCTCTTTCTCCCTCCCTTCCTCTTAAAATATGTGAACACATTCCAGATCTTTCTCCTCCCCATCCCTCAGACACCAGTGCCAGAAGATGTGCCCAGCACTCACATCCAGATCCCCTCTGTTTGCACGGGCTCCTGCCCTTTCTAAGAGAGCCATGAAAAAAGGGACGAGTTCCTCCTCTTCTTTTGGCTACATGTGATTTTAATGAACGCTGCATTTACTCAGTTCAGAAGCCATATTTTATTTTATTTCATTTCATTTATTTTAAGATTTCATTTATATGTTTACTTATTAACTATATTGCACATTTCAAACATTATTATCTTCAGAGCACCAGGTTGGACACTATTATTTCACATGAAATTAAAAGCATGATAAGATAAATATTTTCAAATTTATGACATAATCTTGACATTAAACATTCTTGTTAGAATAAAGATTAAACTTAACTTAGTTTGTTCCTCAATCTATAATAGAAGTTGCGAATTGAGGCTCCCTAATGTAGTTCCACAGATGATGAACAGAATTATGAGAGATGAAATTTGCTGGTGATGAAAACTAGAACCCAAGACTCCTAAATCCCAACCCAGTGTTTTACTGTGCCCTCCTCACTCAGTTTTTGTTATTTTAATACATTTCCTTGGAAATAAATCTTATATGCCCTGGTTCTGAACCAGTGTATTTAATAACTATTTTTCTACAGATGAATGATATCATAGAGAAGGTTAAAAATATTCATAATTATATGAAAAACATATGGAATTATATTCAAGATGGGAAAGATGACTATGAGAAGGTACTTTAAAACTTAAAACTTGTTTATATTTTTATTTCTTGTGCTTTCTTTTTTTTGCAGCAAAAAGAAACTGAACTTAATACAGTAATAGCTCAACTAAGTGAAAATGAGAAACACAATGAAAAAATACATAAGGAAATGGGAATCATGAGACAAGATATTGATACACAAAAGGTAGGGTTATTTTGCTCATGACTTATGGTATCACTTATACCAATAACATTCTTTTCTTTTTTTACTTTTATTTTCATTAGATCCATGGAAGCCACATTTTGAAAGACATAGTTTTCTAGACATGTCTGTTATTCAAGGAAGAAAGTGAATTCAAAATGGATTGGTACAATGTTTTTACTCTTATTCATTAGTAATGTTGACAAGTTTATGAGTTTAAGTTAAGGAACTTCTTCAGCATTCTTTAGAAAGTTTTATAGGAAATAATACAAATTAATTTTAATGGCAATAAACTTGAAATCAGTCTTGGTAACGTTAAATTTTTGGCTCTTGAGTGGCTGCTTCAGTGGAGGGCTGGCAGGGAGCCTGGGTGGGACCCTTCCCCTGACGCTGCCACCTGAGCCTCCTCGTGCTGGGCGGTCCTTTGTGCTCCCAACTATGTGACACAAAACCTGCTCAGGAAGCCAGGGAGGGCAGTGAGGGACATGGAGGCATCTATTAGTGGACCGCCATGGCTGCTGGGCCGAGATGACCACTGCTGGGAGGTGCAGGAGGAACCTCTGAACTGGGGTGACAGAACCTCAGAAAGTGACTTCATTTGGAGAAAGGGTTTGTGCAGATATAATTAGGGACCTCAACCTGAGACCATCCTAGATTATCCGGTGGCCCCGGATCCAATGGGAGTGTTGTAAGAGGCACAAGGAAGAAGACAAATGGGGATGGGGACATGTAAAGATGAAGAGGTTGGAGTGACACAGACACAAGCCCAGGGGCACCTGGGGCACCCGGAGCTGGAGAAGGCAGAAAGGTCCCCCCTAAAGCCTCTGGAGGGAGGGTGACCTGCTGGCACATTAACTTGGGGCTTTTGGCAGCAGAACTGAGAGGATTCCTGTTGTTTAAGCCCAGTGTGTGGTCCTTTGTTCCTTGGGCCCCAGGAAACAAGCAGTGTCCTTCCTACAAATGCAGATCATTCCAGCTTACAGGCAAAGCCTCTGTGGCCCACCACCCCACCCCCAGCTGCACATGGGGGTGTTAATAACTGGAGGGTAGATGGACGTTGTCCAGGTCTTGGTGGACCATGAGCCAGGGTGCAGCGTCTAGCAGGAAGGGCCCTCTGGGTCCTGAACCTAGATAAAACATGCAATTCCATCATGAAGTGGGACTTGCCCAGCTTGGTAAGAGCATATGCCACTATTTTAAGAGAATTTCTAAGTGTGGACTGAGCTGATTCCCTGTCAAGAAACAGCATACCCATGAACTCGATCTTCCTTCACAGATGACCAGGAAGGGCACAGACAGCAGCCCCATCTCTGGCCACTGACAATCAAGAAACAAAGCGTCAGGCCTGGAATGTGGGGGTGGCTCCTGCGAGGCTGATTCTCCACCCTTATCCTGGGCCAGGTGTGCCGACCGTTCACTCAGGGCTCTGAGAAGCTGCCCTCCTTCCCCCATGCCTGGCCTCTGCTTCCCAATGGCTATGTTCCTTGAATATTTTTGCTTCTGAAACCTGCTGCTCACCTCCTGGCGCCATTTTACCATGGGCAAAATCACCGTGTTTATGTCAGAGCACATGTGCAGGTTTTGAAACATGGAACTAAACAATCACCTGGCTAATACCAGTATGGGAACATACTAGTAATGCTTTTCATCATTTCCTTTGCATTGCTTAGGACTGTGTGGCCACAGAGAAGGCCAGTCCAGCTTCAACATAAATAGAACCAGCCATGAGTTCGGAGAGTGGAGCCACAGGAAGGCACACTTGAGTTTTCCTTGCTCTTCCAACTCTGTTTTCAGACTTTTCTGGTCTCTGTGGTGGGAATGTGAATTAGAAGCCCATCTTTCGGCCAATTTTAAGTGGAAGTAGAAACCAGAGTGGTTGAGGGGGACCCAGGACCACTGTTGGGATGGAGTGGGGGCCATGCAGTAGCAGCCTGTGGCTCCCTGAGCGTCAGGAAACCACATTCTCTCTCGTGGTCTGATGAACAGCCAACACCCATGGCCCCTTCTTTGGCTCAGACCCCAACTTCCTTCGCTGGCCTTGCCAGTCTCCCTGACCTGGCTGGAATCTGAGGTGAGCCTGGAAGCTGTGCTTCTACAAGCTGACTCATGCCTCAGGCACTTCTGATTCAGGTGAGGTGCTGACAGTGGGATACACCTGGAGGGTGTGTGTGCAGGGGCGGGGGCGGGTCTTCAGCCAGGAGGGTGAGGACAGAGCTTGGGGTAGGCTCTTTGGCTAGCTCCAAGGGAAACATCGCAGTGAAGCTGGAAGTGACCTCAGGTCAACCTCCTCACTGGAGGCTGAGCCTCCAAGGGCCTGAGGAGACTTCCTTCACTGGAGGGGTCCTGGAGGATGAGAGGGAGACCCCTGCACCCCAAGTCTCAGCACTCAGGCTAGTACCTCCCCATCATCCTGGCTCCAGAACCTTCTGCAGAGCAACCTTCTGCTGAAGGCTGACACCACTCCTCCCTCCGCTGAGCCGGCCAGGCGGGGAAGGGGCAGGTGGGGAAGGGACCTGCTTCCTTGCTTCTGTGGCTCTACCCAAGCCCTTGCCACATCCCCACCTCAGTACCCACAGACTGTCGGGGCGCGGCCCCACTCCCTGACCCCCGACCTGCACACCTTCTGTGGAGTCTGAGCCGCCCGCCACCCTGGTCCCCTTCGTGTCCCTAGAGTCTCCGGAAAGAAGCCAGCAGCGCTCCCGGCCCCCCGCTCCGGCAAGGCCCGTCTGCACACACATTCACCCTCCCCCCACCGCCACCCTCGTCCGCCCGCATCCAGAGGGGGAACGCGAAGACCTGACCCGCCGTCCCTGGGGCCCCGGAGGGCCAGCTGCGGCCGTGCGGGCACTGCCCCGCGAGGTTCCCACGGCCCTGCTCGTAGAGCCGTTGTACTCGGGGCCTGCGCGGAGACGGCCTTGTAAGGCAGAGGCGGCGCTCGGACCGGCCTCCGAGCGCTCTGCGCGCTCCCCGGGCGGGGAAGGACCAGAGGCGGGGCTGCAAGGGGCACTCGGGTGGGCTGGGGTGGGGGCCTGGGAGGGGCCGTAGGCGGGTGCAGGTCAGTGGGGGCGGGGCCGGGTAGGCTGGGGTGAGGGCCCGGGAGGCGCGCGGGGCGCGCGGGGGGTGGGGGCAGTAGGGTCGAGAGGGGCGGGGCTGGGGGGGCGCGAGCGGACCAGTGGGGGCGGGGCCGGGGCGGGGCCCTGGGCGGTGGCGGCGCTAGCGCACCGCCAGGCACCCGGTCGCGCGCGGCCGAGTCGCGGAGGCGCCGCCGCTGCAGTCCTTGCGTGTGCCAGGTAAGCGGCCGCGGGGCTCGGGCCCGGGGCACGGCGCAGACGGCACTCCTCGAGGACGCAGGGCCCCAGGCCCGCCCGCTCCTCTGGCCACCTGCGCTCTCGCCTAGGGGCTGCCAGGCGGTTGGCACTGCGTTGGGCGCGGGTCTGAAGACCCAGGGGGTCGCGGGAGGTAGTGACTGGCGGTGCAAAGGACAGGTTTATAATTGAGCCCCAAGTGAGACGCTTTGCCTTTCTTCGCTTCGGTACCCTTGGAGCCTCTTCTTTCAGGGGCTGCGCGGCAGCCCCCGCCCCCCCAACTACCCCCCTCCCCTCGTCCTTCATGCCCAGCTGCAGAATGGCTGTTTATCGACGCCGGGGCCTGGGGGGCCGCTGCCTATGAGAGAGAGGGAAATTAGGACTAAAAGGGTTTGAAATGAAGCCACTGTCCTACAGCAGCACGAAACGGCCCTTTGTGTCCAGGGGCCCAGAATGAGCGTGATCCTGGAGCAAGGACTGCGCTGCTCCTCTCAGGGTCCCAGCCCTACTCAGCCCGGCACGAACGACACCACTACGTCCAGGGCAAAGTGTTGGGCCTACAGTCTGCAAATCGAGGATTCCCGAGGGGCGTTCTGTTTTCTTGTCGCACAGAATCAGCAGTCAAGATAAAGAGGCTGGCTGCCGGTGCATTTCCCACGCACCTATGGGGGCAGTGTCCGCCTATGAGGGAGGGTCCTGAGGAGCCCTTTATTCTGCGGTTTCAGTTTTGTATAGAAGTATTGCCACTCGAGGGGAAAAAATTTTTATTCGCACTTCCCTGTTGGGACTGCTATTTTGATAGGCGTTGTGTGTTCTCCGAGATCTGACACCTTTTAGGATGAGCCGGAGATGCTGTCATCCACCTGCGCATTTCATTGGCTGATTCCCCTGACATTTATTGGATACTTGCAGAGTCCCTGGGGGATGCTGATAAAAGGACCTAGCTCCCTTGGCTGCCACCGCCGGCCTCCCGGCACTCCCCAAGGCCAACCTCTCAGGGAGGACTCACGGCGGGGGAAGGGGTGGGGGTGCTCCCCAGAGCCCAGAGGAGCCCCTGGCCTCTAGGACGTGATCAGTAAACACTGACCTGAACTCTGAGTGCACTGGGATCACATCCGGGGATGAAGTGATTCGGCTGGGGAGGGAGAGCTTGGAACAGGCAGGAAACGGGGGTGTGATGGGCCCAGTGAGACAGGCCTCAAGGCTTCCTGATGCCTTAAACTGGATTCCATAATCCTGTCTCTGGTACTAGCCCCTGTTCCCATCACATGGTGGGAATGGCAGGGCTCAGGGGTGGGTGACGGCGGGGGGCGGGGGCAGGGATGGCGGTGAACTTCCTAGGGGCTGGAGCTCTGCAAATGCATGCCACGTGAGTGTTAGGTATGCTTGGTTGCCTCCGGAAAGGCCCCTTGGCTCTCATGATTTCCAAAGGGATTTGACTCAGAAAGGTACCATAATTTAAGGGCTACAATAAATAATTTCTCTCCATCTCCACGGAATTATGAGGTGATGGAGATTAGAGGAAGCTGTGCTGACTGTATTCTTATCTCCCCTGCCTTGTTTGGCTGATCTTCCTGAATCCTTTCAAGTTGCAACAAAATAACTGTTTTAACGATGTACAAGGTTGTAAATGCTAATGGTGGAAAATGTGCAAATTCCAGAAAGAAAATTAAAATTACTCATCACTGATGGAAATTTAAGAGAAATCTTTGAGCAAACTGTCCTCAGGGGCGTGTCCTTATGGGGGAGGGGGTGGCGGTGGAGGAGGCCGTTGAGCTGTTCCCTGTGGAAGAGGCTGAGAAGGACTGGAAGTATAGAGGGGAACTCTGTGTGAAGTATAAGAGTGTCTAACCACTATGTTGTACACATGAAACCAATACACAATAATATTGAAAGCAATCTGTAATTGAAAGATTTTTTTTTAAAAAAAAAGGCTTCCTGGGGAGAGGCTGTGCTGATTTGAAGCCAGGCCTATATATAGCTGGTGATGTTGCTGGTGAGGCTGGAGGAGCATGCACAGGAGATGCCATCTGAGGATCTCGAGGCAAGGGGCCCTGCTGCACCTTGAAGTATCAGGTCCTCCTCCGGCTGTGAGATCTGGGCCCTGAGCTCCTGTCTGGAAACCACTCTGGACCAAGGGTGGTTTGGACATGGTGCCAAGTCCACCTGAGCCTATAAACCCAGGACCAGGTAGATGCTGAGACTCACTCAGATCCTACTGCTTAAGCAACAGGTGTTTGCTAGGCAGGAAGGAGCGGGGCTGCCTGCACGGGGCCCACTGCGTCTGGGGCTGCAGCTCCTGTATGCACCCTGTCCACGATTCAGCCCCCTCTTAGGGAGACTAGCTTCCTCTTTGGGTGGGGATGTAGCCACAGTGTCACTACCCACGCTATCCCTAACCATGGCGTCCCAGCTCCACAGCGTCTCCTGAGAAACTTTCCAGGCAGCTTTCAAGTGGCAGTCCTTGGCAATGGCTTTAATTGGTCCTGCTGGGTTCATGGGAGAGGGTGCAGGGTCTGGGATCCGTTGGAGCCCTCCAAAACCACGTATGGGGGAAGGGCTGCTCTCCACATGCTTACAGCATACTGTCTCCAAATCTCAGTTCCTGATAGGGGAATTAAGACTATTTTTCATTTCTATATTTCCCCTTTAGCTGTACAACGGCATGCAAGAGCAGCTCAGTGTGACTGTGACGGACTCTAAACATCCAAATGCAGAACATTCTTTGGTGAAGAAATGTAAAAAGCCTCTCACAAAGTATAAGAAAATTATACCTTTCTGACTGTCGCACCACACTGAGTGTCTCCTGCCACGCCTTCACACTCAGAGGCTTGAGCATCTTAGCAGTGAGGAGTGTGAGCTCCCCCTCATAAGACCACGTGCATGCCGACTTTTTCTTTTTTAAACTAGATTTGTGAAAGGGAAGGGTGAGGCCTTACCTTTTTTTAAGCCTAAAACTTAAAACCACCTGGACCCCCTCTTTGCTCTTCTGCCCTTTTTTCCTGCGGCACAGTGTCCCCGCGTGTCCCCAGGGGTCCCAAGTATGATTTTCTTGGCGTGATAACTGGGGCACCCTGTGTGGGCTCCACGTGATCTCCCCCGCCCTGGGCCACTTTTCCTGAGATCTCATCCTGTAACCCTGTTGCACACATTTGTTTAACAGATGTCTGAGCACCCTGCCAGGTGCCAGGTGAGCTGGCATGGCCTCCGCCCTAGGGAGCTCTCACTCTAGCTGGAATGTCACAAAACAGCTAGCGTCCTCTAGGTGACCTCATTTGGGCCTTACACTCCCCCACTGTCATCTCTTGGTGAGAGATGAGCCAGGCAGGCAGGTTGAGCTTTGCTGTGGGGGTGCGCGTGTGGGCCTCACACCCAGAAGTCTGGCCTTAGAGTCGGTGTTAACTCTGATGCCCCCTCACACTGACCTGAGTGAGCTCCCAGGAGCCTGCAGCCCTGGGTCGTGTACTGCCCCTGAGGAAGCGTGTTTCACATGGTCCTCATGTCCTCCGTGCTGTCCACTTCATGATCCTCAGCCCTTCCCTGTCGCCCACCCTGCTCCGGTTTTCTAGCACTGTACCACAGCCCACCCCAAACCAGGAGTTAAGACAGTGACAGCATTCTGTTTGCTTATGAACCTCTCACCCAGCAGGGCTTAGCATGGATGGAGGTCTCCAATCCCTTGGCCTTGGCTAGGCGGTTCACAGGCTGGGTGGATTGTCCAGGGCTCCTCTGCTCAGTGACATGTCTGGGCTGATGGCTGGCTGCCACAGCGGGGTCTCTTCTGTCTCTTGTGAGGTTTTTCCAGAGTGCCAGCTTCAGGCTCTCTTCGAGCCATCTTTGCTTTCTGCTTCACCTGTGAGTTCAGGGGCCCCTAATACAGATCCCTAGAGAAAAACAGGTGAGAAAGGATTCTCACCCTTTATGCTGTGATTTCTGAAGTCAGCAGCCTCCCTGCCCCCGTGTCCTGTGATAGAAGCAGTTATCGAGGTGCCAAGGTTCCCGAGAAGGAGGCACACGGCGGGAGAGGCATCAGGGCAGCAGGCACTGGGAATTAGGCTTCCCTTCCTTGATGCTTCTGAGGGCCTCTTTTGGAGACCCAGTGGTCTCCCATGCCCGCGCCTTCAGCCTTTGGTAGTCACTGGCAGCCTGCTCACACCTGCACTGCACCGGAAGTCTCTGAATCCTGTACTCCTCTTGCCCCTGTGGTCAGGCGTCCACCTCGCCCCTTCCTGGCCCTGCTCTTCCCCTGGTCTTATCTCCTTGGCCAGTAGCTCTCATTTCCTGGCAGCAGGGCCCACCTCTGGGGAGAGATGGCCTCATCGGTCACCTTCCCACTGCACCCTGGTCCTGGCTTCTGTGGTTGCCCAGGCACCACGCTTGGTGTCCTTCTGGCCCAGACACTGTTCCCCCTGGCATCTGCATGTGCCAGGGGCCGAGTCGGCACCCTGGCTGTCATGTCTTCTCCGCTGGGGCCTTCTCCAGCCTGGCTCTTTTTCCTTTGAGCATCTTTGCTTTCTGCCCAAATTCCCACGCAAGTGAATCCTGCCTCCCACCCAGAGGCCCCAGGTGCAGTGGGCTCACCTTCCTGGAGTTTTCTCCATGAAGGCCCACTTCCCACTCCAGGGCCCAGCCGGCCTTTGCCCTGAGCCCTGGAACCTGACCCAGTTCTTCCCGCATGTGCCCTCAGTGCCATGATTTGGTGCACTGAGCTCTCACAGGTGACTGTCCCTCCTCTGCAAACCCAGTCGCACTTCATAGCCTGCCCCACGCACCTGTTTCCTTGTCCTTAGGCACCTCTGCCACATCCACTCCACTTCTGTCTGTGGCCTTGGTGCTGCCTGTGCCGGATGTCCCACCAGTGCAGGGTCAGCTGCAAGCCTCATCTGAGCCTCCTGTCCCAGCCCGGCCTCCCTGGGATGCTGGCATCCATAATTCCCCCTGGCCGGATGTGGTGGCTACTCTCTTTTCCTGTTCCTTGGAAGGAG